AAACTCTTCGCGAATATCTTAAAGGAGAGGAAAGGCTTACCCTACGTATATTTTATATACCTAAGTTCGGTAAGTAAGTATCTTGAAGTCTTTATATAATTCTCGAAAGGGGATTGTTACCACTCTTCATCGGTCCATTTCAGTATCGATATCCCTATACTCTCCTTCGTCATTGACAACAGTCCCTATTCATTACCATGATCTGCACCTCCTTTAAGCATATTCAAGCGGCAAAAAGATCGTCCAACTTCCACACATCTCAAAACAAAAACTGACTCGGCCGAGACTTGAACTCGGGACCTTTTGTGTACACAATGGAGCCTAAATATTAGACTCCGCATGTTAGACAAACGTGATAACCAACTACACCACCCAGCCTGATTTTGTAAAGACGATTTTGATAAATGTGTAAATTGGCTTGATATAGGCCATATTTAATGTGGGGCTGAGTGGTGCTAGAAGTGGGTCCGCTTGGTTGGACTGTGGTATTCGAACGGGGGAGTATACGGTTACAGTGCAGGAACCATCATACATATTCGTTGGACATTAATGCTTAGCTCTGGAAAGGGCATGGCTACGGTAGGCTAGGGGGAAAGTTAGAGTGAAAGAGGGCGGAGTAGCGAAGGATGAGAGACCGCTTACTTTCGTAACTTACACATTATATTCATTAAACGGCCTAAAAGGAACGGAAAACAGGAAAAATGCGTAAGTGGGTTCTTATCTACGGTACAGTTAAAAGTATAGAAACCTCTACTGAAAGGTTTCTTAATGTCTAAATCACCAATATTAAAGAGGCATGAGACTGAGTATGACTTGTGCTCCTCCCCCAGGCGGCTTCAAAAACGCTTGATCCTATATACCATGCTCAGCTCTCTCTTCAATACCTCAGGGGTTTGAAATTGTGCTCAAAAGAAGATGGATACTGTCAATCATGCCGGCGTAATCCTGTCCCGCTTTATTAAGGGCCTTCTCGTTTTAGGAGTTGATTGCCAAGCCATCGATCACTGCGGGCCTCGTGTCATCAAGCCATATAGCATATGGTTTGTGCAGGAAGGGTTTCGGATGAGGGGTCCAGCTCCATGTCCTATGAAGGGGGTTTTCGGGGAAGGGAAGTATGATAGGGCCTAGGTTAATTCAAAGATCTAATATGATTTCCCAAGTTCAGGATCTAGAAGTCAAAGAAAGAAGATATAGGTATGATCTACATATTTTACAGTCCACCTGCCAAACGCGATGTACATAGCTATACAAATTCCCCCCTCCCCCTTCCCCCCCCCTGACGCAAGACTTCCAAGAACCCCTATATCCTCGCCCTAACACTCGCCCTTTCCAGCTCCCCAATATTCCCCTGCCCAGCCAACGTCCATCTCTCGCTGACAAACGGGGCATCGACCTTCGCCCGCAGCATACCGCTTGCCGCATAATACTCCATAATCGCCCGTGCCTCTTCCTTACTCAGTCCATTGCTTCTCAGAACTTCCATATTCCGCAGGCACTCCATGACGCGCATGTCGACAACTTTATACGGATTCCACTCTGGTAGGACTTCGCGGCCTAGTTGGCGAGCTTCTGCGAGTTGGATGGAGTAATCGAGGGCCGGGCAGGCGGGGGAGTTGGATTTCGTTTCGGCGGCGAGTATTATGCCACCGTTTGGCAGGGTTTTGGTGCCGGAGAGGTGGTCGACGAAGTGGCGGACAATTGTCAAATCATGCGCGTGGACTGGCTTCGCATCCGCGGACAGATACTCCGAGTTGCGCATCACGTGGGCCAGGTTATCGATGGCCATCATGATGGGCGGACGGCCGGGTAGAGTCAGCTCCTTCCATAATGCAACGAAGACCGGCCATGAGGCTTCTGGGTTGGCGGCTCCTAGCTCGGCGAGCTTGAGAAGGTTGAGTTTTGGGGGGGTTGGGATGGGGAGGGCGGGTTTGGAGGTGACTTGGATTTTGGAGAGGATTTCGCTATTGGCTTTGGCAATTTGTGAGAGAAGCGTTGCGGTGTATGTTTCTTGGTAGTATTGGGTTGGGGTGGAGCCGGGGAGAGGGGCGTACTCGGTGTGGCCGAGGACGATGTCTTTGGCTGTGGACTGTTAGTGTTTTGTCTAAGAGTGTTGTCTAAGGGTTTCTATACCATCGGGCAAGTTGATAACCACCCAATTCCTCAAAAGCGCAATCATCAGCCCTTGTAGTACAAGCGTGCTTTTTCCGCTCATCTTGTCTCCAACCAGAACCTTCCGTATTGTCTGCTTCGCCTTCGCCTCTCCAGCCTCAACCTGTTTGACCAGCTCCGCAATCTGCACCGTCTCCTTCCTCATCAATGCTGCTGGTCTCCGGAACAAGCTCCACCCCTGTGAAGTCTTGAAAGCTTCCACAGCTCTCAGGGCATCTACAACTTCGCCAGGAATGCCCATTACCTTTCCTTCCACTGCTTTATCAAGAACATTGTCCTTAGTCAGATCCTGCAGGGTCGGCACTTCCAACGCATTGGTATTACTGAGCACAATACGCTTTCGTAGTGCTTTGCGCTCTCCTATAGCCGGTTTCCGTCCCGTATCACGACCAGACCCTCCTCTCCCCTTCTTTACGTTCAATGTCTTAGCACCTCTTTTCGGTGCTGCAACTTGTCCAGTCTTCTTTTTCATCAACGGGCTAGCGAAGCGCGCAGTGGAGGTGGAAAATGACGAGGTCTGGGTGGAGGATAGGAGGTTTCGCGATCCAATTGAGGAGTGGATGGATGATTCGGAGGAGAGCTGAGGGAGCCGGCGGAGACATATGGAGGACGACATCTTGGAAGTGAGTTTTACAGTCCACTGCTTTCGCAATGGCTGTGAATATTAGGATTGACTGATGGGGTCGCCGGCTAGGGTTGAGGTGCAGAAAAGTTCGGAGGTCCGCAACGCCTTATGTAAGCATACGCCAAGACCACCATTTCGGCTGAAATACCAGAAGTTGGATGATAGGTCATAGGTAGTGACTATGATGTCCTCTATCTCTATTTTGTTAAATAAATATTCTACGAGAGTACAACTATGGTGTGAATAGACACCTTAAGTATGGTCGAGTACAGAGATATCCGCATGCGGACTAGCGTCTCCCGTAGCTTAGCCGGCGCTCCAAAAAATTTGGGATGCTTTTTGGTCTCCAAATAATCCGCTGTCAACCTCATTCTCCAACATATTCACTTCGCTCTCTCAACATCTTTCATAAACCTCTGTTTAAAACAAACCCTTTTATGTACAGAGCTGTAACATCGCCATCTTCCGCTTCTAAACTCGCCGACAGAATTAATTCCGGCGCCATGGACATGGACGCTCCCAACGCTGCGTTGTCTGTTGCTGATTCTACTGTTTCCCGACTGTAAATATCCTCATTGTCAAAAGATCCATAATAAGTTACTAAGCGGTGTGCAGACCCATCACCGTCAACAAACCCACCCCCTACACGTTTGACCTGGGTAATCTACTATGTAACGATCCTAACCCGCTCCCGCGCGACGTCGACGAAGAAGTACTTGCCTCCACCGCCCGCGACGCCGCTCAGGTCCTCATAAACCAACTCCTCACTACGTGCGAAGTCAAATCCAGCGCAGATGGTGTCGCTCTCACGCTCCCGCCACCCACGACCCCTCTTCCCCGCGAGAAGCCCATCCCAGAAGCGAAGCCCCCGACCAAATGGGAGCTCTTTGCCAAGAAGAAGGGTATCACGGGTAAGCAACGGGACGGTAAAATGGTCTATGACGAGGAGAAGGGTGACTGGGTTCCCAAGTGGGGTTACAAGGGCAAGAACAAGGATGGCGACAACGAGTGGCTTGTTGAAGTCGATGAGAAGAAGGAGAAGGAGACAGGTGAAGCTGGAGATGCCAGGGCGGACAATAGGAGGGAGAGGAAAGAGCGGATCCGCAGGAACGAGAGGAAACAGCGAGCGAATGAGAGGAATACTAGAAAAAATGGTTGAGGATATGGAGCGGTTGCGCGTTGAGGGAGAGCCACACTTGATGGAAGAATAGCGCATCATGCTTCTCTCGCGGCGGATCGACAGCATGAAGGTTTATACCCAACACCATCCGAATGTCTATACGATGGTAGTACCACCACAGCAGGGAGCTTATCTCATCTGGGGATGCCGGAAGTTCTTGCCAAATGTTTTATCTGGAGCTTCAAAAAATTGCTCAATGGAAATGATAGGATTAAATCAATAATGGCATGCATGACAATACTGAAACCTCACGTTTCTTCAACCTCTTTTATCCATCTCATCATGCAACCTTGAATTTCTTCCATCTCTCGTCCATCTCAGAGCTTAACTTTCGATCCCTTCTCATCCAACCTTTCGAGTTTCAACCTCTCAACCACCCTCCTCGCTGCATCTCTAACTTCTTCAACAATCTCCTTTGCATTTTTAACTTCCTTGATAAGCCCCACCCCCACCCCCGCGTACGTAGTCATCCTCCCCTCAACCCCCCAACCCCCGTCCCCCTTTCCCACCTCCTCCTCATACAATCTCCTGTTCTCCTCCTCAGTCATCCCACTCATCGCATCCCCATAACTCCGATTAATAATCCCCCGCGCGTTATGTGTGTCCGCCCACCCCGTCGTGCCCCGCAGAGTATCATAGACTTTCGTCCTAACGGTTGTTTGGCCTCCGTCACTGGCACGGAGAACTTCATTTTGGTAGCCCTTTGAGATAGAGGCTTCGTGGGAGGCCAGAAACCGCGTTCCCATAGCCACGCCTGCGGCGCCGAGAGCGAGGGCAGCGGCGGCGCCTCTTCCCTCTACTATGCTCCCTGCTGCTATAATAACGGGCTCTGGGACCCTTTCTTTTTCAACTAACTCCTGAACCGCGTCGTGAACTTCAGGCACTAGACTGATGATACTAGCACCGTTGACTAATCCATGACCTCCGGCGTCTGTGCCTTGGATAACGAGAATGTCTGGTTTTACGGCTTTCGTGATAGATACTGCTTCCTTCACACTGCCCACCTGCACCCAAATCTTCGTCTGGGGGCTCACGCGTCGAATCTCAGTCGCCCAAGTTGAGAACTCCGAAATGGACTTGGCGGCGAAGAGCCAGAGGGCCGCCGGGCGGTAAGACTGGATGCTGGGGAGGGCTTCGGAGAGGGAGGCGCCCCAGCATATGACACCGATGCCGATGGGGAGAGTGTGTGCGGTGGTGGAGGATGTAGGAGAGGATTGGAGTAGGGATTGAGCTGTGGAAAGGTCGGAAGAGAGGGTTGAGACGTCGGTGCCGGCGCCGATGAAACCTATGCCACCTGGGAGGTTGTTAGTTTGGGCGGGATTTGGGGAGGGCTGGGAAGGGGGTTCTGTAGGCAAGGGAGTGGGGTCAATGGTATAAGGGTTTGGGAAAGTTAGGCAGAGTATA